ACACACAAACCCTATAAGAGACCGACAGGCGGTAATTCACAGGATTTCAATAAAACCAATCTGCTATCAACTCCCAAAATAAAATACATCATATATATTAAATACAGAGTTAAAAATATTTAGGTGTTTATTTCCTAGGCTAAATTTAATAATGACAAACTATGTAAAAATATTAATAAGCTACAATGAAGATACATGATTAATCCAAATTGATTTAATTTATATTCTATTGCAACTTATCATATTAATCAAAATAATTATTTAATTTTATGACAATCTTAATTAATACTTAATAAAAAAATCAAAATACTAGTAATTCCTAATTCCGAGTATTATTACAAGTAACAAAAAATTACTGTTCATTATGCGTTGATACTGTTTAAAACGTTTATCACGAAAGCTAGTTCTAATCTTTCTTATTCTGCACTAGACAACTAAAGAATACAATTAAAAACAATTTTATTCAGAGATACACTCAAAAAATGGAATGCTAACAACATATCTGTCCCACACTTAACATTATTCTTGTCCATCGGACCGTCCTTATGTTGCAGGATACCCCAAGAAAATAGGAAAAACTAAATAATTACATACAGGATACACACTTGGGGTGCAGGTGCTTTGCCCGCAGGACTGATGAACCACGACCGTGCATGTGACAGATTCTTTAATATACCGACAACGATAGTAATAGAACAATGCATCAGTGGCGGGCATATTTTTGTGACCGAAAACTTGTAATTTGTACACCATTGTTATCCACGTCGGATGATGATGACGAGGTTTTTTTACGCACAATTCTTTCTCACAACCGAAGACAGCGACGATAGAATATACACCCATGCGTGTCATGATAATATTTCCAGAAACATTTTACCCCTAAATCCTTTTCTATTTAATTTTACTGTTTTTCGGTAATTTCGACGACGGATATGTATGTCTGTGATCAATGGAGACGAACAATACAATTCATTATTATTATTTATATCATATCAATCGATTGAACGTAGAAAATGTGGGACTGGAAATATCAAATGTATTATGTATTTATATATTTTATTGTTTTTTACAAGAAATAGGTACTTGTAGTTGTTTTGTTTTTATTCTACTCTTATGCACGATTTATTTTCTGCAAGACTGATGATCATAAATCGTTCATAAGCCGTCTATCGTGGCGTCATTTCTTTACATAATATTTTCTTAAACAACTTATGAATATGTCTAAAAAAAACTAACATAAAACTGCTCCAAACAGAAAAAAAACGATCTACTTTTACATGTTTGTATAATATATATTATAAATGTGCGTATATGTGTATGAATTAAGTAACATAGCGAACCATATTTATTTTATTACAATACTATGATAAATAACAAATATTTATTTTTTATAACTTATTGTGATGTTAGAATTCAAAATATAAAAATTGGTAATGGATAATTTTTGAAATGATGTAGAATATTGATAATCTGACGGTATAAGTAGTATATTATCAAAAATAAAATGTCTATAAACATCCTTAATGTGAACACTGAACAAATTGTATGTAAAAATACAATTTATTTTCTAGTAATCATTACATTTATTTACCATAAATTATAATTATTTTAGATTTTAATGATTCTTCATTACAAAGCACCATTGAAAGTTACAGTAGACAAATAGTTTCAGTTTTAATCTTGGTTCAGGCATTCGATCAGCAAAAAAAAAAAATGTCAAAAACATACATAGGTAATAAGTTAAAAATATGTTAAGCAGATGGAAACAGTTCTAAATTGTATGATATCTTCTGTCACTTCAAAATCACTACATAACAACCAAAAATAAACGCTTCAATATTCAAAATAAAATTTTAATAAATATTTGATTTCTAAAAGAACATTGTCTACCGAATATTGAATCATAACGTTGATATAAATTAGATGACTGTCATTCAACCGATCATGAATTCTGTCTTGTATAGATATTGAATATTTTTATTTATTTCATTTCGTAAATATTTTTTCATACAATGTAAATATAAAAAATGTTGACACAGATGACAAACATATCAAAAAAACGATTCATTAAAACACTCCAAATAAAATATATATAATATACATATAGTTTTATATTTTTAAGCAAACAAACCATATTATGTATTCGGTAATAATGATAACTATTGTTAGGTAATTATTTCTTATAGCGAGGGAGTATTAGATTAATAGTATTATGTTTTCTTTTCACTACAGGGGCGAGGCAGAAAAAGTAACTGAGTTACATGGGAAATGATATCCGATATATGAAAATATGCGGATTCCGAATGACTTTCGTCTGGTCCTATGTGTATTATTTCGGGGAACAGACTTACAAGGGTGCTGTTTATTGCATTCCATGGTAGTGGCGGAGGTAGTGGTGGTGACGACCGACCGACCTGAGCCCGCGGCGACCAATCGTAAATGTATATAAAGAGGAGATACAAACATACATCGAGAAATATAATAATAAAATTATAAATACCTATTTATATAATGGAAGGTTTACTGGCGCTCGACATATATTATATAATAATAATTGAGGGTAAACTGTGAGGCGGCAGTGCTGTGTCCAACGGTTTCTATCCGTGGTAGTGGTGGGGCCGATAATATTTCATATCAGAGGCACACCGTCACTGACACACTATTATTTTGTCGTGTTCAAACCGTTTTTTATCTTTATTTTTTTTTCTCATACGTACATCATAATAATACCTTATATTATTATAATATTAATACAAATTTTTAAAACTAACGCACTCAAATGGATACTGTCGAATGACCTCTATGTGATTCTTATAGTTTATCGTACCTACATTATTTGTGTGAAATTCGTTTTTACAGCTAGCCATAGAGTACACCTAATAGCTTCTAGGGCCTAGGCTAAACAGCAGCAGAATGAGATACTTCTATTTTAAAAATATTTGTAGGTACCTACATACCTACATACATATATTCAAACATACGTAATACAAATCATAACAAGACTATTAATCTTATTTTACGAGACAACAGAAAACGTTAACCTATGTATTTTGATTAGTAGGTCCCTCTAAAAAAATTTCGAGAAAATAAGTTTTTCAATAACAAATTTTTGGATGATCCGTTAAATGTTAGAAAACTCATTATCAGAATGGGTTTTCTGATATAAAACGATTACAATTTTAAAGTTTTTTGTTATCATAAAATATCCAATGTTATCTACGAAAAATATTAAAACAATAATTTTTACCAAAAAGTGAACAAAACAATAAAATACGGATTTTGTAAGATAGATTTCACTTAGTATGGTTTAAAAATATGCCTGATTAATTATAATTTATAATTTATCATAAACTCATGTTAATATCAATCAATATATTATATCAAACATTTGTGATAAATTAAAGGTTAAAAGCTACCTATATCTTAAAATCTATGTTAAAATAAACACAAATACATTATTACACAGGTTTAAATAATACTACACTATGACGCAATATATTATATATATATATATATAAATTATAATAATTGTAATTCAGTATAACATAATCAATATATTTCAACATGATTTACCTAATTAATTTTAAATAATTTGAAAGTTTTAAAATCATTGTAAAATTTTTATTTTTTAATTCATAATTAGAGTAAATAATTATCATAAAAATTAACATTAAATCGATACCTAGTGTTCTAAACGATAATAAACTATTAGGATATTAATAGTATGATAGGTAGGTATTATAACTATTACCAACATTTTAAGGAAAAATTGTGTAAAAAATTCAACAAATTTATTTGCAATACTTAACAATAACACCCTACATATTTATGTAATATGTAGTATTTGAAAAATTCCAAATATTTCCTTAACCTTCATTACGGGATGTTAGAACCAACACAGAGACACTGAATTTTAGGTGTATGTAATTTAATGACAAGATGTGAATTTCACTTAATGAAAAATCAGTAAACCCCGGTTACTATTACAAGAAACTACTGAAAAATGTGGTTCCCGAGAAATTATTTCAAATACGCGAGTTAATAAGTTTCCCGTAGAATACGCACATATACGAGTTTGGCAGCGAAGGAATGTTTTGAAAAATCGATACTCGTTTAAACAGTTATAAAAATAGAATAAAAAAGACACATTTTTCTAAATAAATTAATAATATGGATTGAATAAAGACTAACAATTTTTCCTTTTAATTTGAAATCATAGACATAGACGTATAATTATTTAGGTACCTATCGAAAAATATAATTTAATCATACACAAATCGTAACTCTACTTTAATATATATATATAAATATATTAAGATAACTATATTGTATATGTCATAGATCTGTAGGTAGTTTTTTATTTTATTAATGACGAGATTGTCTCTTGTCGGAGGGCAGAAAAAAAATCGTCTAAGCGCGTTTTCAAGTGGGCCTACCAGAGGAGCTCAACGAGTAGTCGCTTCGTCGAGTGTGCGTCTGTGGGGAAAATTTTGAAATCGTTCAGAGTGAGCATCGAGCGGCGAAGCCGAAGGGACTGTGTACTTTCACTGCTAACACCGTCTACATCTACGCTACGTAAATGCTGGTTAAAGGGATCGCGGCGATCGCATTATTAAACGGCAATCGTAAACGCATCAACAAATCCTGGTTATGTAATATAATATGGTAGGTACGATTTATAACCGTGGTGTGATAGAGGGTAATTAGCGTCGTACTGGGAATGATTATTCGAAAAACTTAAATGTTACTTGTACGATCAAGAATTTTTTGGAAAACCTTTAACATTAACTCTTTTACAAAGAGTAGCAAAAAACCGCGTCGACGACGAGCACAGTTTTCTAAAGGATCAAAAGCCGGGAAAATTGGAGATGATTGGTAGCACATGTGCACATATCGTTGTAGTAGAGGTTTATCTCATGTTAGTACAGGTACAATAATATGGTGCATAATATTTTAAAATTTCTCTAATCGCGTTATAATATTATGAGGAAAAAACTTACCTCTAAATTTGCTCGTCGTATGTAATTCAGTAACCAGCTACTACTATATTACAGTCGCTGTTGCTTTGCGTAAAACCAACAATAACAACGATAATTAATAATTATAAAATACTAATCCCGGACTAAGTCCGATGACTTAGCCAGCGATGAAAAACCGATTTGATAAATTATTTATTTTTTTTGCGGTTCGTGTAGTTCACGTTTTCATAAAATATATATTTCAAAGAAAAAAAAATATATATAAAAACAATAACAATTATTAATTGAAAATTTATACACACTAGTCGTATGTTATATATATATTTATAAACACATAATATGTACACTAAATCTGATTTTTTGGCGGAAAATCAATAGGATTGAGGCAGACAACAATAGCGGTTTAAACAATAATAATTAATGATAAAATTAAACACACGGCACGGCACGGTGTTGACGTCGGCGGAGTTTCGATAGAACGGAACGCAACGACGATACGAACGAGTCGGCACACCAAACTGAACTGGCGAGTGGTGAGCTGCCGGCGATTGTCGGACGGCTCCAATGAGTAGACCGCGACGGCAACGCAGAATAACCGCTAATAGATCGACGAGTCACCACCACTACTGCAGTATACTTGTCGCAGATTTACCACTACCGCCGGGGTAACACGTCTATTATTACAATACGCAATACGAAGAATAGTATAAAATATGTTATAATTAAATATTAATACCGATTTCCTGATATCAGTTATTTTTATCACCACGATTACCTATGTACCTCGAATGCACATTTTCAAGTTTATTAGACTTTGTATTTATAATTAATAATAACAATACCTTATCTACATTTACTTACTTTATTTCGTACAATATTGTGTTTATGCCGATTTTCCTATCTCGAGCTCGTTACTCGATATTTTGTGTCGCGCGTAAAATCATAATTTTATACTATCATACTCGGTTAAAAGTTTGAAAGTAGGTACCTCCTAATAACTTAATATCTGCCCATAATATAAACGTACGTATTATCCGCCATCCAATAATATACAAAAAACAAACTACCTATTATAACTTTAATATCTCGATACCTTGATACCTTATATTTTGATAATATCGTAACCGCATTAATAGTGTATAGATCTAACTACTTGTGTGATATAAAATCGTGGATATTATGTTTTGTCAAAATTGTTATTTCGTGAAATTCACAATATTAAGTTCAAGGTTGTTCGCACTGATAATGACCAATACGGCAATTCCCTGTATCGTATCATAATAATTAATAACTATTGAGTGTAATGTATATCATAGTGCTTGACTAATAAGTTATAATGCAAAATATCACTATATTAAAAGTCAATGTTTTCATTTTCCGACGAACAATAAATTTACAAATCGTATCGTCTTTTTACGCGCAAACCATTCGACAATAAAATGTGAAATACATGAGTTTAAAAATATAAAAAATAAATTTACACAATTGACGTGCGTAACTGTGTGGGATGTACGGTTTTTGTGTTTAAACACACATAAACGACAAAGTTATTAATATATTATACTCGAAACTTTCGTAATACTGATTCGAAACTGTTGAACCATACTTTTTAATCGCGATGTATCTGCGTTTATTCGTTTAGCGTAATTCGTATTTGTTTCCCGAAAGCCGATTAACCGTAAAATAAAATAATTAACATTGGTGGTGTTTCATTTTGTCTCTATCAATATGAGAACATACTTATAGTTATAGTAATATCGATGTGTATAATATATTATTTTAATTTGTAAAAGAGCAGTCTGACCGACAAAACGCATTAAATTATTGTCTAACAAGCTTTGACATATAATAACTAACAATAAAACAATTTATGTCCAAGTGTCCAACTCTCACAAGTTTATTGCGAAAAAAAAGCATAACCTATAAACGTACCCGTTCGTTTGGAAGAGGTGTCGCGTCGTATCAAGTGTGATTATTGTCTCAATACAGATAACAATTTATTATATAAAAAAAAAAATTATCTTTACGGATAATGACACGACCAAAGTTGTCTATATGTCAGTTAAGTACAAAACAGTTTCTAAATAATTTTGAACACATTTTGTATTATTATTTATATTCACCTATTTAAACCTTAAGTCGATTATTTATTGTTTTTAATACCTATTTATACACAAAAAAAAAATAATTGGTGAATAATTGTTACAATATTTTATATTATTCGATAAATTCGATACATACTAATTGCATTCTGTGATATATAGGTACAGTACACAAAAAAAAAAAAATAAATAACTTGAATATTAATATATAATACTTATGTATTTTATAGATATTGATAGCCCTATTAAAATGCTGCCACTAGATGATTTTTTCCACAAAAAAATCCATGTTTTTTATTATTTGTACCTAAATTGAATTTTTCTTTTTCTTAATATAATGATAGTAAAACTATACGAATGTAAGTTATATTATCATTGATTTTCCATTTAAACTTTATAGTAATTACAAATCATTTTTTCTTCAATAATAATTTAAGACTACTGATAAAAGTTTAACGAACAACAGTATTTTTAATCGATTTAAATATTTTCTGAAAATGATAATGTCAATGCCAATATTATTTATTAGATAAAGTAAAATTTAATAATATTTTGTTTAATCTTTTTATAGATTACAGGTACAGATAATACAAATGCAAAATTAATTTAATTTTTAATCTTGACGTTTAGTAATTAATTGTGATCGAGAGTAGTTGATTAATATAAATAATAATTCATTGATAAAAATTAAAATTATTTTATAGATTAATAATTCAAATGATTTAAAAAAAAAAAATGTTTAATTTTTTTTAAATAAAACGAATTTTTTATATAGGTAATTATGATAAAAGTTTTATTTTAATAAATTAACGAACCTGATTCTGTACATTTTTTAAGTGTTTATAACATTTTCAAGTTATTTCTTTATTACAATCCTTAAAAATGTCTTAGTTCACTTAAATAATTTAAGGTTATTTTTCTCATAACATTTAACACAAGCTGATGCATAATTTCCCATCTGTTCTTATTTAATCATTACAAACGAATAAACGTACATAGTTTGCTATTCTTTTTAACACACACACTATAATGGTTATGTTTTAGAACTTTTCGTATGATTTTGGACTAGTATAATCATAACCACTGAGTTTCTCTTTGAGAATGTTAAACAATATTAAAATGTTAAAAATGTGCTTTCATACAAAATAACCTTCTAAATATTTTTCATGTTTATAATATTTTTCAATCATAACTAATCTATAGCGATTTGTATTTAATTTTTATTCAGAATATAATATTCACTCAAGTTGTGTTTTATTTTCACTGTGAACTCGTATGACTAACAAAATGTTAAAACTATTTTTTTGTTTGTTTAGTTAATACAATAATATCAAATATAAATATATTTAAATTGATTTAGTTTGTTTATATTATTTGTGTACTATAGTATGCAGTTTTGTAATATAATAGTTTATTACTCAAAAACAAAAATATTTTTTATCTATTATTTATCTGACAATTTTAACATTGTCAAAACTAACTAGTCACAAATTACTAAAAATTATTACTACTGTTCCTTCTTAATGAACAAGGTATAAATATATCGTTCATATACGTCTAAAACTATTATATAATAACGTCAATAGATAATATATGTGAGCATAGTGAACACATATTTCAGCTTCCTTTAAAACGCGAGTCTATATTATATAGATATACATATGTTTTGTTCCTTTTCCATAATATATTATAATATATATAAACATTTTTATCTCTGTCAATTGATTGATCATTTCTGTTCGTGTAGATATTGACAAAAAAAAAGAGAATTAAGTGTCATTTTTTAAATTATCTATATTATAAACTATATTATTATTTTACTAATCCCACATACTGTTTCTATACATGGTTTATTGTTTGTCCAGATTGCATACAAGAATAACCGTCTTAAGTGTCCACCATTTATGTGTACACATATTTATATAATATAAATAATCGGCATACATAAGTAATGTGATTCTATGTAGGTCATTTTGAGCTTTCCTTTTTTTAACGTCCAATAAACTTTAAATCTGTTGTATATGTTTGTTTAATGGAATATAATATTATTTATACGATTTTATGTATTATCTGTTTTTGGCCCCAACAGCCTCAACAGCTTTCATATCATTCAGCTCTCATATTTTTTGCTTTCCAAAATATTTACTTGCATATTCCAGTTATTTTCAAAAACATTTTTAATCCAATTGAATTTTATTTATGGTATACATATAATATATATATATAAATATTTTAAATCGTATAAAAATAAAATAAATTACTTACATAGGAATCACCGAATTCTTTTCAAACCCAAAAACATCTGCCGTGATGACTAATTCTTGGACTGTCACGTTTGGTTCGCATCTCGCTATTGTACACTAATACGTATAAACGGACATTAATGTGAGACACATTTTTCTTTAAACGATTTTTCATCGGTTTAAGGCCACTCGTTACGAATTTTATAGTATTGACATTATATCATTTATCATTAACCACCGTCGTGCGTCCTTTACCTATAAGAACGAGTTCACCACAAAGGGTTCCACACATCACATATTTTACAGCTTATATTGTACACTCGACCCTTATAGGTAATAGGGTATTTTTTTTGCATATTCTATTCGTCTTTGTGAATGGTTAATGTCTAAAGACGACCTAACCCACATACGTCCTATATTACGTACAAATATATCTTCCGGTCACGTATATGCACATAATATGTCTAACGCCGCTATATGTACAACTTCTAAAAATGTCCTTAAATCGGCGAATAGAGATGATATATGTCTACTTATTCACTATAGATTTGTATTATAATATTATACATAGGTATCTACTTACATAATATATTGTGGTGGACTCTGTCTGTTTGGTCGAAATAATTTTGATCAAAGTGGGAGCCGTAAACGGATACGAATGAATAGGTTTTACGATAATATCTGATGGATGGAGAACAATATTTTTTTTTTTTTTATTATTTTAGATATAGATCTATGAGTTATGACGATTATTAACGTATGGTTTAAATACAGTGTATGTTATAATATAAATTTTTTTTCTTCTTTTTTCCTTGATAAACGTATTTCGTATAATTAGGTGTTATATTATAACATTTATACATATTATAAACAGAACACTGATTTCGAATCTCGTTTATTCTGGGC